CTTTTTTGTAGAAGGGAAGGCACGACTTGATGGCTTACCTGAACAACGGAAGAACTATTCCCGACTACATCATGTAGGCACACGTTTTGCTAGGCTTATGGACAACCTTACTCTGTTAATTTTTTTCTTGTGCATTTCGCAGAGATTAAGGATCCACTAAGACAAACTTGCCGGGGCTAAAAGTAACTGCGCACCGCCGTTTGGGTTAATTTCTTGCCTGACATGCTTTGGCTTTTTTCGTACACTCCCGAAACTTTCCAAGCTGCGTGTGGATGCCTGCCGCTGTGGGCGTACGGGATTTGCAGGGAACTACCAGCTCCAACCTCGGGCTCTACAAGGTTAATTTGGGAGAGCCTAGGGAGGTCGGGAAACAACTGGTTGCAGAGTGGACCTTCGCATCATAAACCCTGCTCAAACAAAAGAAGAAATCCACAGATTTTGATGAATATTTCTAGGGATAGAGTCGTAAATTATACGCAGGGTTGCGTTTGGTGCGTTCACGTTGGTTGCTTGCCTGCGAATAGTTTGGGGGGATTCATCTGAACCTACCGAATCTTGGCTATTAGGTTTAGCTTGTGTCAATAGCTCATACCAGAATGCGCCTTATCATATCCGAGTCTCTGCTATTCGTGATGCTTTTCAGAAAACTGTGGAACTTCCAGAGACGAATAGTGAATAATTGGCCTTTGTTTCTGCTGCCAATGAACTTGAGGAGGAAATGAAGTGGAAATATTTTCCGAGTTTATGCACGCGGATGCTAAAGCCCTCTTGCTGGTCATAAAACCCGTTGTGAAATCCAGTAAGACGACCGTACAGATTCGTTTACAAATCGGGGTATTCTGTATGAGACATGGTTTTAGAGAGTTCTTATTTGCTGGTATTCCTGGCCGATGAGGATAGGTGGCTTCGCTGAGGATTTCGTCCTACCTCACAATGGGGCGCGGCCACCAGCTGCACTGCCGTGTTGACCCCAGCATTCGCTGCTACAACAAGCCGGTGATTTTTACTGTAAAGAGACATACGAAATGCAGCTAGAATGCACAGTCGCACGAGTCCGCGCTTCTTCTGGTACTACGAAAAATCGCTAACAGTGCGTAACTTGTCCTCCGTTGTAGAGCCTGGCCAGAGCTGGGGTCATGTGAGTATATAAGGAGCAAGAACATCGCAGTTCAGGAGAGAAATGGGAATTATCACAGATAAGGGCAGCTGTGAAACAAGGCGGCTGGCCCTTGGTGATCCCTGAAAGCCCGTCAGCAACCACATTAGTAACATCCTAGCCATAATTGACGGTGAAGCCTTATTGCGTGTGCCGACAAATGCACCGAGCAACCATTCCATTATCGAAGTTTTAAAAACCCTTCGGCGTGCGCTTGGGGCTGTTCATCGGTGTAAACGGTGTAACGGCTGCCACATTAGTAATGTTGCCATGTAGTTGTCGACACGTCTTTACCCCTTACCTGACCGAGTAGCGCTCTTTCCCACGTGTTGGATACTTCTGCTTTCTTTCAGAGAAATCTTGTAAGTAGAAGTCCGTCACCTTGCTGAGAGAACATTATTCCAACTGCTCGGTCACTGGGATCGGCTGATGAGAAGAAGCCTTCATCGAACTGGCGATCACTGCAGGTGTCAGGTGGCCGGTGAGGCCTCTAGCAGTTTTGCCTTGGGCATCCTAATAAGTTGTTCCTCTTTGCTACAACTAGATCCCCTAGAGAGCCGGTAATGATAGCTAATCCAATGATAAAGGTGCATTGGTACGACGCGAGGCCGAGGAACTTCTGAACATCCGTGCAAGGGCTTAGGGGAAGCTACCACGTCCTAATTTGCTGAATGTGCTTCGATTCCTGCTGCAGAGACGAGAAGCCCTAAGAAGCTAATTGTGTACAGGGAAAGTGAACACCTTTGCGCCTTTTCGAGTCAATGCTTCCCACGTGCTGATTGCAAAGCAAGCCGCAGGCACTACAAGCGGTCTGGGAAATTTCGAATGGAAACGTGCAAGCCAACCAGGTAGATAACAATCCATCCTTCATTTGCTGTGCGCAAACAATAGTCATCCATGTTTTACTGCAGTTCGGCAGGAGCACTGACGAGCCACAATGGCATAAACATGTACTCCTGTACACCAGTTTACGAGCGCAGCTACGGAGCGCAGTCTTGTATCTGTCGTCAGGGTTGATCTCCATGCGGCGCACGGGGAGTCTAGCTTCCGGCCCGCCCGCGGGAAGTTCCTTGCAATTTAGTGCATGGGAGCTCTACCTTCACGTGTGCCCACTTCCGCTTGCTGCTCGGGCGGTAGTTGGGTGAAATCCCACAAAATTGCAGTATTAATGAGACTGTAGTGAGGAAGTGCAAGCATTTCTCCGTTCTTCCTGGAAGCGCTTCCGAGGCGAGTTGGAGTCTCCTCCCTCCTCAGTTATTAAGGCACTAATTCAAGTACTCACAGCAAAGAAGATGCAGGTGGTGTTGAGGATACCTCGAAGTGTAATCTGCAATCACCTCTCGGCAAGTAGACCTCAGTAGAGCCTTCCATAAGCAGCATGTGCAGCTTTCGCCGAGCAATACACCGCATGCCTTCGAGTATGCCCTAGTAAAATGCTCGGGTCTTACTTATATGACCCACTCCCACTAATACTGTGCGTCCTATTTTAATAGGGAAAAATTCAATAGCAGCTGCAGCACTCCGGGTGCACTTTGGAGACGAAAGTGCAGCTGCAGAGAAGGAAAAAACTCCTCCACTGACCCCGCATTGCGAGGCCAGTCATCTCTGGAAGATCGGCAAAGGCGGAGATATTCTTCATGAATCCGCTTTTGCTTTAGAAACATTTATGGCTGAATGGATGCAGACACTGAGCTTTTCCGAACGCGACAAGCCTCCCAACGGCTGGTTGCTTCTTCGCTAGAGGGAAGGTACCGATAAATATCCATTACGCACGAAGAGCCAAAGCCTTGATAAAACTTTTGGGAGAGCATCAGGATATGTTTTTTGTATTTCTAAAGCACCTTCACTCCTGTTAACTGCTTTGCAACGACGCATGTAGCAAAACTTCCACTTTACGTGTGTGCCCCGGGAATTTGGTACCCTCGGGGGTGTAGTCAACAAATTCTATGCTTCTCCTTCTAAGGAAAAATATGCCAGTAGCAACTGTAGCTCTTCAGATGCATTTTGAAGAAAAGTGCGCCTCAAGTGAAGCGAGCAATTCCTCCCCCGCCCTCCACTCTTGGCTCCCGCCATATCTAAATGCAGAGACATTCCTCATAAATTGCTTTCGCTATGGAGATATTTCCCGCTGGATGAAGTGGGGATACCGGGTTTATCCCAGTGCGGCGAAGAGTTCAGTGTTTGGTCGCCTTCCCACCGGAAGGCAGGCACTCATCAAACTGATCAACTATCTTTCTGCTACAGGAGGAGAGCTCTGAATTCTCGCCAGTCCTTCGGGAGAATTTCAAGAGACTTCAGCCGGGTTTTTTCAAAGAGCGCCGTGTCTAGTAATCAGTGCTGTGCACTACGCCGCCAAATTGCGGGGATGGAATTCGCTGTTCGCACTTCCCCAGATGGACCATCTGGAGATACCCATGGCAACGGGCGTGCTCAAAATGAGCAGAGGGCCATGTTGCGCACAAAGATAGTCAAACAATTTTGTCAGGGGTTCCCCCGAACGCATATGACCTCCTCTCTGGTCCCCAGGAGTCCTGCGCACAGAGCTCCAAGGGCCTGGGTCTGGTGCGGAGAGGAAACTGCCGCTTAGTTTTTTAGCACATCCCTGCAACCCTTGCAAGGCAACCCAATACACACTGACACGACCCGCCTCTTGAGGCATACAATTACACAATATATTTGCGAAGCACTTACTTGGGTCAGCACGTGGGTGGAACTACATGTGCCAGCATCACACATACCATTGGAGGTTCAGACTCGCTGCAGTACACCTTCGATGGTACGCTAATGCCCAATTTCCCTGAGCGGCCAGTTGGGCCGCCCTCGTTCGCAACGAATGAAGTTCTAGAACGGTCTGCCTTAATAAGAAGGCGAGGAAAAGCTTGCGAAACAGGCCAGAATTCTAACGAACTGCCTGCTTACCGAGCCGTTTCACCCACTTAGTGCAGACACTCCTTTAGGCGCAAACGGTTGCTCAAAATCAAGTCCTAAGGGAAACATTTGTAAGAATCCACACCACCTTATTTCAAAGAGTCCCGCAATTTCTTCAAACGGAACTAACCTTTTATCCAGGCGCGTTGCCAAGGTGTGCACATGGGCTTATCCAGCCCCAAATACTGCCACCAGTGCCTTGTTAGTAATTGCCACAGGCCATTTGCCAGACACTTAGGTAACTAAGCTCGTTTCTACCGAAAAGTATTTTTCTGTTGCTACTTTATTCTTTTTCTGTCAGTACGGGGCTTGTCGTAGGTCCCAGCACTACAAAACCCGGCTGCTACAGCAGGCCACTCCCCTCATATTTCCTGCGCTATAGAGATTCGTCTTTCTCACTAGTTTCTCACAAGGAAACAGGAATAACACAAGCATAAACATACCTCTGTGTGCGAAGCCACAGGTCTCCCTGTGCTACCGGGCGAAAGCCACATGCACCGCAGGTTGCACCCCGACCAGAAATACAGGGACTGCCCGTCTCACCTTTGCAAGCAACAAGGGTTTGTGCCGCAAAGTGAAATTATCGGTCTTATTGAGCTCTTGTACGCAGCCGTATTTGAGACGAACAGAGGGTGGGCCCATGGGCTAGGTAAGGAACTCCCGAGTGGCTCTGTGCATCATTCCCTCTTCAACCTGCCGGCGCTCCTCAGAACAGATTGAGAGACAGCAGCGTGTGGCCACAACTGGGTGGCCCAGACCCAGTTCCGAGGGTCCTTCTGCAACCTCACTTTGCCTCTCTGTCTCCGCCCTTCTTTTCTCCTTTCAGGTCCTTCAGGGCGGTTTCCATCCATATCATATTCTTCACCTTTCCGTTGGAATATATCTTCTTTGCGGTTGTGGGGCCGCATAACTGAAGATGGCGGGCGAGGGCGACAATAGGGAGGTACGGTACTTAGTACGCAGCATTCCGTTGAGCCCCGCCGGTTAGGTCATAGACACTTTAGGTTGTGGCATGCTGCCTCCATTTCGACTGTTTGAATGCTTCTGGCGTCGACACAGTTGGTAGTGCTGCGTGCTGGTGGACTGCGTTAGGCTGTAAAGGTTGCAGTTCCGGCGAACGACCCGAAGAAAACGGGGAAGAAATCCAAGGGGACAGAGGAGATGGTGCGTTCCCGTGCCCATGTTCCTTTGTGTATACAAATGTATTTATTTTCATCGTGGCGTGGGCCTGTCGTGTTCTGTCGGTCTTCTCGTGCATTCGCATTGGAAACGTCAGTGTCGGTTCGTGTACATCCCATACATTCTGTCCCTTCTACTTTCGCTTGGGCCTAGTTGACTTGAGTTGGCGAGTAGCGTAGTTGGTACTCGCGGTTACGCCTTGACTTGTAAATCTCGAACACTTCCCTTGCCCAACCTGAACACACCGTTCCTTTCTCTTCTTGGTGGCCGAGCCATCCTGGACTGCTAACGACCCACGGCCCCACGCTATGTGCAGACTGAAGACGACAAGAAGATTCAAGAGAACATTGAGCTTCTTGTGGAGAGGACATGCGATAACGACCTCGGTGCGGGCATTAGTCTGTCACGCATCCCATTTTCGTGCTGCAGCCGGGCCGGCTGCAGCAGCACAGGAACGCTCTGCTTCAGCCCCTAAACGCCGGGGGGACTTTTATTGTGAATGTTTGGCACAAACATGCGGAGTGCCTCCACTTTGCATGCGGTCTGTTGCAGAGATCGTGGCTCTGGCATTGGAGACACTCTCCCGCGAGCTCAAGGCTGCAACGTCGTCCATGACCAGCGTACCCAAACCGCTCAAGTTCCTCAGGCCCCACATGGACAGACTCGTTGATCGCTACAATCAACTTCCAGAAAAAACAACTCTCAAGGTTATTTTAATGTGTCGTGCAGAAAGCGCAGAGCCCCGCCGTTTGCTTGCCGTCCCGAAGATGTAGTGCCAATGAAAAAGCTCGAAGGCGGAACAACAAGCCTTCTGCTACTCCTGCTACTGCACCAGGAGCAGAAGCAGCTGCTAGCACATTGAGGCCTTACTCGCGTTTAGCATTTTCTGGCTTTTGTGCTATCTGCAGCGCGACTTCGCGATGGTTCTGTCGGTGACCTGCACAACTTCAGGGGATTCGCGCCGCTTATCTTTGCACTTTTGTTTGGAGGTTCGGAACATGCATGGACAGAATGCCAGCAGTAACAGCACCAGAAAAGACAGCTACTGCGCTGCCAGGAATCGAGACCATTTCGAGCCCCTAAGTCAACTGCATCCAGGGGCCACTTTGCGCATTGCGGGGCCCCCATGTCAAGGTGGATGCTGCTGTGACTGCTGCTGCACCATGCTTGTGAGGTGCAGGCGGAGTGCAAAGATGTGACGTCGTGGGGCTATGAGTACTTGAGGAACCTCTCCGGGCAAATTGCTGGGGCCTTTGCGGAGCTGCAACAACAGGAGGCCTTGTCAGGTGCTGAGCAACAGAGCACGGCAACGGAAACAGATGACAGCAGAACTGCTGCGACTGCAGACGGCGTCGAGGTGGATGGTCCCACAGGAGCAGCGCAAACAACGAATGGCATCGCCAGGGATGCAGCAGCAGCAGATAAACCCACCACTGGGCTTGCCTCTGTGAAGGTTCCTCTGCCTACGGTGGAGCAGCTACTGCAGTTAGTTGAAGAGATTGTGCCCTATTACATGCAACACAATGCGGAGGTTGACGCGATTGATTTGCTGACAGAAGTGGAACGACCTCAGTCACTGTTGCCCCTCCTAGATGCAAACAATTATCAGCGGGTCGTCGCGTATCTCTTGAGCCTTTCGAACTACGCGGCAAGTCCTGAGGAGGCGCTGAAAGTGCAGATGGTTGCATTTGATGCTCTCATGCAGCAGCAGCAACACTTCGACGCCATGCGCGTGGCTCTGAGGCTGGGAGATCGTGCCCTCGTGGACAAAGTAGTAAAGGACTGCAACGACCCCTTGGTGCAGCAACAGCTCGCGCTGCTACTGTGCCGACAGCGGGTAGACGTAGAGTTTGAAGATGAGAAGCTTCAACGGCTCGTCAGCGGCAGCAAAACTTCGCCGTTCTTCCGCTTTTTGGCGAAGGAACTGGATGTGTTAGAACCAAAGGAGCCCGAAGATGTTTTCAAGAGACACCTGGAAGATCCGCATGGCAGGCGAGCACGTCTTGCTGGTCTGGAAAGCGCGCAGCAGAACCTTGCTTCTTCTTTCGTGAATGCCTTCGTCAACTGTGGCTTCGGGACAGACAAGCTGATGACGGCAGACGGTCAGTGCCTCATCACGTGCAGATCATAGGTGCAAGCAGGGCCTAAAATTTGGCGTTTGAGGGTTCCGCCACATTGTAGACAATTCGGCATGCATTGTTCTTCTGGAGAAAGACACCAATCTAATGTGTTCACACATTATTTGGCTGCTTTGAGTTAATGCTTCCTCTTTTCCTCACTGGTGCCAACAGATCCAAAAGTTTGCAGTGGTGGGGCCCTACTGGCAGCTTACGCCTTCGATTGTCTGTTGCTGGAGTTGTAAAACTCCGTAATTTCCTCACTTTCCGCTTGTCTTAGCAGTGATGAACAGATGGTAATCATATGGCATCTTCCAAACGGTGATACCAACACATCGGCTTCGTGTCAACCTGTGTCCATTCGGTCTTACCTCACTCATTTGCAGGAAACGGTTGGCTATATAAAAACAAAGACCGGGGTCTGCTCTCCACTACGGCATCTCTTGGAGCTCTGTGCCTCTGGAACGTGGATGAGGCTCTGCAGCACCTCGATAAGCACCAGTACAGCAGCGATGCAAATATCAAGGCCGGCGCTCTTCTCGGTGTGTGATTCGTATTCGTTTTTTGAATCCCGGGGCTGGGCTTGTCAACTCAATCTAGATGCGCACACGCATTGTCGTAGGAGAGCAATTTCCTAGTCAGATAACCAGGCCGAAAGGGTACCTTAAGGAGCTGGTGCCGTTGCTTGTCCAGTTGTGAAGTCAGCAGTGCTGTCTTTGGAGCATTTTGGTTGGTTGCGGAGGCAGTACAACGATCCACATGGGGAGTGTGTCCGTCTTTCGCTTCTACTGCGCTGCATGCAACATTATGCGTGTCTGCGCTGGTGTTGCCTGCAGGATTCGGAGTGGCCAGTTGCAATGTTCGTCATGAATGCGACGCTGCCTTGGCACTTCTGAAAGATCACCTAGAGGCAACAGAGATGACAGCCGAAACGCCCCTCCTTAAGGCTGCAGCTGCTATCGGCTTGGGCTGCGCTTATGCAGGAAGCTGCAGGGAGGACGTTTTGGAGCTGCTGACGCTCGCAATTGTGAGTTTTCTCCTGGAGAGGTGCTGCGTTTCTCGGTTTCAGTGGCGTCTGATGAATGCTCACACCCAAACGAGAGGCACAGATGGAGACAGAGCGGTGGTTTAGTTGTTTTGCCTGTCACTTTTGCGGCTTTCTGAAGACGCCCTAAAGGGTAGTCCTTATGGCCGATTTGTGCTTCAGCTTGATGGATCCTTACCTCTGGAATGTTCTGCATTTGCTTCCCTATCATTGGGTCTCTGCTTCGTTGGGAGCGCCTCAGCTGATGCAGCCGAGGCCATACTCACTGCTCTGATGGACCGCTGCACTACGGCGAGTGAGCTTTCGCACTGCTTGCAGAGAAATAGAGGGAAGCAGGGAGCCTAGCGTTGTCGCGCAGCCTATGTAGAAGTACATTATTACCTTCGTGCTTTCCTTGTCCAGTGGACGGAGGCACTCAACTTCATTCGTTAAATTAGCACTCCACCACCGGCACTTCGTGTTCTTCTGCACTGGCGTGACCTGTGGTGCGTTCTTCTGGGCGGATCTCTGGTGGTTGGTACGCTGCAGAGGCCCTGGATTCGCCGTTGGGGCACTTCCTGTCAGTTGGGCTAGGCCTCATATTCCTTGGAACGCGAGATGCTGCAGAAGGGGCTTTGTGCGCCGTCGCTGCACTGCCACACGCTGCTTTCTCTGCTGCTGCCACCCGGATTATCGAGGGCCTGGCAGCTGCAGGTAGCGGCGACGTGCTAAAGGTGCAACGCATGCTTGGTGTGTGCGCCGAATCTCGTCCTGAGGGCTACTGGAAACAGAAGCAAAAGGAGCTTAACAGCGAGCAGCATCCGGAAGGAGCTGCAGCAGATAGTGCCTCTGCTGCAGACGGAGCTGCAACGACGAGGACTGACGGCACCTCTGCGGTGTCAGGGGTCCGGGCTCCTCCAGGCAGCTCAGCCAGCGACTCCACGTCTGGAGCAACAAATACGGCTAGCACCACTACGGCAGATGATGATGAGGACCATCCGGACGATACAGACCAGGCCGTTGCGGTTCTAAATATTGCACTTATTGCTTTTGCTGAAGAGACCGGTGCAGAAATGGCTTTGAGACTTTATGTACGTCCTGAGGCAAGGCGCTTGACCCCCCAGTAGTGGTGTATTTGGGAGTGAACATATATATATATATATATATATACGTTCAATCAGTTTCGTGTGTGTGTAAAGCTTCTCCAGAGACATAAGTCTGGACCGCTTGAGTGTATACGCTGTATGATTGCAGGATCACATTCTTCAATACGCCGATGCGCACATGAAACGCGCAGTGCCACTAGCAGTAGCGCTGCAGCACCCAAGCAACCCGAAGCCCCAACTCATCGATTTGCTGAGCAAACTATCTCACGATGCTGACCCTGATACTGCCTTGAATGCGATTTTTGCTATGGGTATTCTTGGCGCCGGTAGGCTCCACCCTTTACACAGAAGAGTCAAACAGTGCTAATTCCAACATTTAACTTGCTATAGTGGAAAAGTACAGTGGATGGAGGGGTGCAGCCAGTGGGAAGGGCAGCAATTGGGCATTTCCTGATATATGTCGAGTGCTCGCGTTATAGGGACAAATCACTCGCGCATTGCATCTCTCCTTCGTCAACTGGCATCTTATTACGGAAAGGATCCCAGCGCATTATTTGTGGTGGGTTTGCTTTCCAGAAAAATGGCAAGGAGCGTTTGCGGCTAAGATGTGCATTTACGGCTAATGGATACATTTGTGCGAACTTCGGTTCCGTGCTGCAGGTCCGCCTTTCACAAGGCCTCCTGTACTTAGGGAAGGGTCTGCTGCATCTAGGCGCGCTGCACTCCGATCGGCAGGTCATCTGCCGCGTTGCTCTGGGCGCCTTAGCGATTGTCTCCTACTCGGCATTCCTCATGCGCCACACAATTCTAGGGTTAGCACAACTTCTCAAGTGTGCACGCCCCATCCTCGTGTTCTGCCACTGTAGCAAGCTCTGTGCGAATGAATACATTTGTACCGTGTATATTTGTATTGTGCTGTCTAAGATACGTTCTGGAGTCAGTGAGGGCTCGACAACTATCTGCATATGTGGTGCACACCGTTTCAAGGATATTTCGAGAACCTAGGCACATAAGAGGTTTTCCGTCTGCTCGTTTGTGATTGCTGACTGGTTCAGGAAGTTCCACTTCATGCTCTACTACTTGTTCCCCGCGGTACAGCCAAGGTGGTTAGTGACGGTTGCTGAGCGTGTGGAAGGGGCAGGCTTAGATGAAAAGCCCGACCTTACTCTAAAGGCGGAGACCGCCGCGCTGGCACAGGATGAGGCGGAAGCAGCAGGCATAGATGCCGCTATGGAAACGGATGGCACAACGAATGGCAAGACCTCCTCAATGGAAGGAGATGAAGACCTTAAGATGCTCCCGATTCCGGTCCGCGTTGGGGAGGCTGTCGATGTCGTTGCGCAGGTGGGCAGGCAGCCGAAGACCATTACAGGATTCCAGACTCACACCTCTCCTGTTCTACTTAATTTCAGTGAAAGAGCCGAACTGGCAACAGACGAGTGTAAGTCCGCCCACGTGCAGTAGTCTGGATTTTCTCTGTTACTTCAACTGAGCAGTTTCACCTATTTCGCAAAAGCAGCTTTGTCGCTTAGTTCGCCAGTGCACTTCCCACCTCCCTTGCTTGTGTATTTACTGAATGGGTAACGTTTGAGTCGCTCACATGCATAAGAGTACTAGTATTGCTGTGTTGTTTCGTCAGATTTGCCAGTTGCGCGCGTCCTTGAAGGCATTGTCCTTCTCCGAAAGAATCCCGAATACCAGCCACCAAAGGCCGCATAGACTGCAGTTGGTGTTGGAGTGAGGTGATGCGGGCGGCCCTTGGCTTGCCTTTTGGGCACTGAGTGCTTCCGGCTAGCAGCTGCGCCGGCTGCAGATATGGTTTCAGTGGCAGAGGCTGTTGATCTTCCCCTACTCATTATCTTGTGGCTTTCAAGTGAAGCACGTGAATGCTCGCTAGTGTGTAACGATTTTCTCCACAATATGACGAATAAGGGTAGGCGAGAAGTCCTGCTACTGCTCGGCTGCGGGCTGCTAAACCGAGGATCATTTGCTGTTTAGGCCCAACCTAATGCAGCGCCGCTGGTCCCGGCAGTTGGCTACGATAGACTTCTGTAGAGAGCTTATAAAACGCATTGTTCACAGAAGCTTGCATACCTTTGGCTCTTTGCACGAGCTGCACGAGCAGCTCGCCGAATACCCGCAAGTAGCAAACCAGTAGAGCTGCCAGTAACCGAGTGTAGAGAAGGTCCTTACAAGAAGGCCACAAAGTCCTCAACATCTTACAGCTTTGGTAGGTAATAAGCCGCAACGCAACAGACAGAGGCATGGCAGTCACTAATATTTTGCTGTGGTTGCTTGAGTGGCTGTGACACAAGGTATGAAAGAGTTTCAAAAGAGCCGGCGCCGGGGTTCAGTGGGAATTGGCACTGGTAATCTGAGCTGCACTCGAAGTGATTCCAGCGTGCCCACTGAAGCACCATTTTTGCATGTAACTGCTGCCCACATAGTGTGACTGGATCAACCGGTCAGCCTGCCTGTCGAAGGCGTGTCATACCTGAATAATGCTCGTCTTTTAGAGCGGCATCCGTATGTCCTCACGTTTCCTCTATAAGGATTTACGGGCGAACCTGTCGTCCATTGTGTAACCAGCCTACCGTGTAGAAGGAAATACGCGCATGTTGAGTGCTCCCGCAGTTATCTAATGAATAGAGAAGGAATACGCTGGTAGCTCATTTTGTGCACTGTTTCCTCCCACATGGTTGTATGAGACGTACTTGCACAGCTACTGGGCTGATTAATATACCAGTGTTGTACCACTCACGAGCATGCTGCTTTCTAATATACTTGAGTCTCGATCACGTTGGCAACCACTTACGCCGTTCACTTCCGCATACTGTGTGCGTTTTCAGTCAGTCTACTCAAGTGAAATGCGATGATGAGGCGAAGTAAAGGGCCAGGAAACGGCTGAACTTTACCAACAAGCACCCGTAGTAGCTTAGGGACCGCTTCCTGTAGAGGTGGTTTTAGTGCGATCTAGATCACGAACGTATGATCTAGATTACAAACGTTTCGCCAATGCTCAAGTGAACGAGTGCTCTGCTCTGTAAAGTTGGCCAATCTTTGGCGCATTTCAACTGCTACAAACAATACCGTCCCATGTGTCATAAAGTGGGTTTATGAAGACAAACCGATATACCGACTTTATAATAACGCAAGTCTCCGGACCGTGACTAGCAGTAATAAAGGCAAGATTTTTCTCGCTAATGGGAACTCCGTAGGAGGCATGTCATCCCAAGGGAATAAAGGAGCAATAAATGAGTAAGCTTCTCAATGTTGTCATTGGATAAGGCTCCTCAGCAACTGCTGAAATTGCAAACGACGCGGCAATGGTTTGCTGCTCCTGTTCCAACAGAGGGGGTAAAGCCAAACATAAAGGAATTGCCTGGCGCAAATGGATTGTATAGTCGGAGTTTGGGGATAACATGGTTTCGTTTATATGCAACAGTAACGTTCAGCGAGATATGCCAAGTGCGCGGTGCTACAGAGATTCTCTCGAGGTGATAGATTTGCGGGATACGCAGTTACCGAACAATCCTGAGTGAGGTGTTTCCTGCAAACCTTTATGTGGTGTTTCGTTTGCGATTCGAAAGCCTTTCTCGGATAGCGTTAAGCATTTTTCTTACCCGCATCCATCAAGGTTCGCTGTGATGATGAACGATGGGTTATATGCTACGTTTAGCCCCATTTTCTTCTTTATGGAACACGTCACACGAAGGCATTCATCAAGATGTTCTGTAAAGCATCCCAAATAAAAAGGCCCCCGAATCCCTCTAATTAGCTCCAGTTATGACTACTGCACTCGTAAGCTGATTTGATGCAGCAACCCACATGCCAGGACAGCATTGTGGGCCGGCCACTTGGCCGTCTGCCATTGTAGATCATCCCGTCATGTAAGACCAGTTCCGGTATCGGTGGCGTTCAGACTGTCTCCGGGTGGATTCAGTAAATAAAATTTTACTATGTCAGCCTGTGGGTACTCCACTGGCATTTTCGTTCGCTAGGCGAAATACAGGATGGTCCGTGGCTGTTGCGTGCCAATACAAGGAGGCCACAGTCAAACGAAAACAAGCAAACAAGCTACCCTTCCGGAATCTCGCTCCACGATGCTACCATACACCAAAGGTTGGCAGGAAAATGGCGTCTTCCAGTTTTTTCGTCACAGCTTCACGGTTGTCAGCTCTGGTTGTAACCAGGGCTCTGGCTGTAACCAGGGGATTGAGAGCGGCACTCTGGGGAGAGACCAGCAGCAGTGAAGCACAGAAAGTCGAGCTCGGACATAAAACCTTAAAGCAATATTTCATAAAGGCTGCTGCTCAGAACCTACCAGAGGATATCAACAGCGTTGATCCCGTCGGCGCAATCGACCACCGGTCTCGACGTTGGTTGGGTGGCAGGGAAGAGCGCCGACAATTCCTTTACGTCTCCAAATTCGGTGCCGTAAATGGCAGGAAAACAAATTTTGTGGAGGATTATTTGTCTGTGGTTTTCAAGTTTTGCCCCAAGCTCCTGCAGAATTTCGAACCGTCCTAGACTCAGTTGCCTGGCAAGACACGAGCGGTCCTCTACTTGAGGCCGGATATTTTCCGCCATGCAGCCGACACCCTAAAAAGAACAAGCAATATTGAACATTATAATTTACCGTAAAATTCGAGCCTGTTAACCATTACTTGGCGCCTCTTAAGGACGAGCGCAGCTTTCGCAGTCAGCTATTAGCGGGTCACTCACCCGCCACTGGCGGGGGGGCCAGCCCGTTGGCGCGCCACGGCTGG